CCACCTAGGCTCCCCACCCCCCATATCCTTTTTTAACCAAATTATACAGACACATAGTTTAAAGAGGTAACAAGTATTAATAAGGTCTTATATGAAAACAGAAGGCAGGGGCACCTGGGTGGCTCAGTCGGTTAGGCGTCTGACTTTGGCTCGGGTCATGATCTCACTGCTTGTAGGTTCAAGCCCCGCATCGGGCTCAGTGCTGACAGCTAGCTCAGAGTCTGGAACCTGTTTTGGATTTTGTGTGTGTGTCTCTCTCTCTCTGACCCTCCCCTGCTCATGCTGTATCTCTCTCTCTCTCTCTCTCTCTCTCTCAGAAATTAAAAACAAAAACAAAAACAGAAGGCAGTCCATCACCCTCGTCCCCCATTTCCACTTTCCCTGAGGCACCTATTTTCAATTCTTTCAGCTGACTGTATTTTACATTTATCTCCATTATCTCTTAAGTAGTATGCTTGTTTGCCATTTCTTGATGTTTCAGTTTTAAGCACTATCTCTTGATTTTCTACTGAGGGAGATAAAGTTTTAACTCTCTCCATCACACGCCTCACCATCCACTAATCCCACCTCCCCCAATGGCCAGCAGAATTTTGGTTGGTTCTGTACTCACTGTGTACATTAATATATGTAAGCTACGATTACTTTTCCTGTTTTGTACAACTTACTGTTTTCCCCAGTTAATAATTGTCCTGTTCTGTCACTTGCTTTAGTTTTTATGTATCCCACTGTCCACCAGTTTTCTAAATCTCTTCCCAAAATGTTCACACACATCAGGTGCCTCAGGTTGGTATCTCTGGGGGCGGACGGGGAGATATTCTTAGGGATCAAAAGCTAGGCACGGAAGTGGGTGGAAGCAGGATTGGGCAGAGGGAGATGTGGGACTTAGGTGAGGCCTGGCAAAGCCTCCCACAACGTGGCAGGGAGCTTCCGAGCAAGCGTTGCCCACCGGAGTGTCCCAAGAGCGACTGAAATGGTCAGGCCCTGAGACCCTGCCTGGCTCAGTCACAGCGTGGAGGCTGTCCCAGGGAAGGATGCTGTCCTGGACAAGGCCACTCCGCATCTGGGGCTGACCCTGAAGGAGCCGACAGCTGGAAGTCGTCTGCTGTCTACACCCCCCACTGCTGGGCAGCAAGCCTTCCCTTGAAGTGGGCTCTGGGGACAGGTCTCTATCACGGTCTACCACTTCGTGTGTTCTGTAAGTTCATCCCCTTGAGGAAACTTCTCTAGGAGTCTTTCTGGAACTTTCTGTTCCAATCGGGAGTGTTTTCTTTGGTCAACAGTTATCACTCTGGGCAGGGAAAGATCTGGATTTTGTAGGGTTTCAAGCTTTAAAGTTTATGAAATCTGGGGGCTCTTAAAAAAAGAATACAAAACTAGGCATAATTTATTTAGATTGATAAGATAAACCAATAAATTCCTGGAGCTTCGAATCCCCTGAACACTCAGGACCTTTTCTTCTGAGATCTCATCAGGCAATCTAGCGGAAATGCTTTCTCATTACAGCTTGGCTTCTGCTGACCACCCAGAACCCTCTACAACCCCCAGCACTCACAGGGCCCTAGACAGAGCCTGTGCAGGAGCCTGGAGCTTAGGGTATGGGAGCTTCTCAGGAAGTTCTTCTCTGATCCTGGGATCCTTGCAATCATCCCAGGGACTCCACTCACCTCACACCTATATTGGGGTCCCTGCGATCACTTCTTTCTTGATTTATTCCATCCTCTTGCAGGAACACTCATTTGAATAGTTTCTTGGGAAAGGGTGTGGGAAGTGACATTTTTGAGACCTTGTATGTTTGGAAATATCTTCATTTTCCTTTCACCCTTAATAATTTGGCTGGGTACAGAATTTTTTTTTTTTTACATTTATTTTTGAGACAGAGAGAGACAGAGCGCAAATGAGGGAGGGGCAGAGAGAGAGGGAGACACAGAATCTGAAGTAGGCTCCAAGTTCCAAGCTGTCAGCTCAGAGCCCAACGTGGGGCCCGAACCCACGAACTGTGAGATTATGACCTGAGCTGAAGTCAGACGCTTAACCTACTGAGCCACCCAGGTGCCCCCAGAATATGTATTTTAAAACACCTTTTAGGGGCACCTGGGTGGCTCAGTCAGTTAAGTGTTCTACTCTTGATTTTGGTCCAGGTCATGATCTCACAGTTTGTGGGCTCAAGCCACATGTCAGGCTCTGCACTGATAGCACAGAGCCTGCTTGGGGATTCTCTCTCTCTGTCCCTCCCCTGCTTGTGCTCTGTCACTTGCTCTCTCAAAATAAATAAACTTTAAAAAAACACTTTTTAGGGGCGCCTGGGTGGCATAGTCGGTTAAGCGTACGACTTTCGCTAAGGACATGATCTCACGGTTCGTGGGTTCGAGCCCCGCGTCGGGCTCTGTGCTGACTGCCAGCTCAGAGCCTGGAGCCTGTTTCAGTCTGTGACTCCCTCTCTCTCTGACCCTCCCCTGCTCACTCTCTCTCTCTAGAAATAAATAAATAAATAAATAAACCTTAAAAAAATTAAAAAAACACTTTTTAGAACAGTGCTTGGCACATAATAAGTACTATACGAGTTTTGCTATTACTATTATAAAAAATTCTAGTTGGAGATTATTTTCTTTTAGTGTTGTTACTAAGAAGTTCAAGGGCATCCTGATTCCTGATGCTTTGTATGGAATGTCTTTTCCACTTTGGAAGGTGTAGGATCTTCTCTTTTTCTCCGGGGTTCTGACAGTTCACAACACTATCTTGATACTGATGTTTTCATCCATACACTGAGCACTTTGGAGATAGCTTTCCTTTTTTTTTCTTTTCTTTTTTAAATGTTTATTCATTTTTTGAGAGAGAGAGAGAGAGAGAGAGAAACACCCAGAGCACAAGCAGGGGAGGGGCAGAGAGAGAGGGAGACACAGAATCCAAAGCAAGCTTCAGGCTCTGAGCTGTTAGCACAGAGCCCGACACAAGGCTCGAACCCACTGACCACGGACCCTGAGATCATGACCTGAGCCAAAGTCAGATGCTTAACTGACTGAGCCACCCAGGCGCACCTGTTCTTTTCTTTTTTTTTTTTTTAATTTTTTTAAATGTTTGTTTATTTTTGAGAGACAGAGCATACTCAGGGGAGGGGCAGAGAGAGAGGGAGACACAGAATTCGAAACAGGCTCCAAGCTCCAAGCTCCCACCTATCAGCATAGAGCTGGATGTGGGGCTTGAACTCACTCTATGTGTGTGTGTGTATGTGTATATACATATACTTTGTATATACACATACACACACACGTCTTCTTTGTCCATTCATCACTCGATGGACATTTGGGCTCTTTCCATAATTTGGCTATGGTAGATAATGCTGCTATAGACATCGGGGTGCATTTGCCCCTTCAAATCAGCGTTTTTGTAACCTTTTGTAAATATCTAGTAGTACAATTGCTGGGTTGTAGGGTAGTTCTATCTTTAACTTTTTGAGGAACCTCCATACTGTTTTTAGGGTGTCTGCAGCAGTTTGCATTCCCACCAACAGTGCACGAGGACTCCCTTTTTTCACATCCTCACCAACATCTGTTATTTCCCGTGTTGTTGATTTTAGCCACTCTGACACGCGTGAGGTAGTATCTCACCGTGGTTTTGACATTTCTGATCTTGAAGCAGCTTCCAGACTCTTCCTATTTCAAACCCCCTACATTTAAACAGGTACCTGTTGGGGGGAGTCTGTTTTCCTTCTTCCCCACATCCAGCTTAGGCTAAGGTTTCCTTGCATTTGCTGTGTAGTTACCGCCCAACCGTCTGTTTTCCAGCTTCCCAATGCTACGCTCTGGTCTCTTCCTTCATCATCCTCCTCTTAGTGAGTTTGTACCTTAAACAAAATCTCTTTACTGTAGCTTTGGTGGGGTTGTGGGAGGGCATGACATTAGATACATATATTCAATCTGCTGTAATTTTCAGAGCTTCCATTTTTCCTAAACCAGTAAGCAGGTTAATAATTACAGACTGAGAGCTGTGGAGGGAAACAAACCTGGGGCCAAGATGAACACAGGAGGCAGGACAACTCAGACTTAAGAAACACAGATTTGTGTTTTCAAACTATATCCCTCACTCCTGTGAAGAGAGGAGGTCATCCGGGAACAAGTGTGCAGTCGGAGTGGGTGAGGAAGCCACTGTGAAGATCAAGGTGAATGCGGGGTCGTTTGCAATGGTGATGGCCATAGGGCTGGAAGGAGTTATTTGGGACGGGCGCCATGAAGCAGGCACGGCATCTGTTTTGTGCCCTGCTGTGTACATGTCCAGAGCTCACCAGTGTGCCTGGCTACCAGAGGACACTTTATAAAATATTTGTAAATGGACACTGTGGGGTGAGGGGGCGGTGAGAAAGGGAGGAGATGAAGACCCACCTGCAGGTTTCTCCTCGGTGTGGCGACCTTGGAGGCCAACTGTGGGTGGAGTGTGTGGCCAAAGGGAGCCACAGAGGTGTGGGAAATGACCAGGTGAGAGCGGGTCTTTACCTACACACAGGGCCAGTGTCACCATGCGCCTTTCCCTTCTGGCCTGTCTTCCATCACACCCTTTCCACTCTGGTCACTCCTGCTGCTGCCTGACACATCCTCTCCCCAGCCTCACCTCTTCTCCTCACCATTCCTCGCTCAACCCTGCCTCCCTCCCCCTTCTCCCCATCCCCACTGGCCCCAGTCTGATTCTTCAACCATATTCTCTTTCTGCAGACTCTTACTTCAGTTTCCAATTGTGTGGCCATTGGTGGAATTCCGTTTAATGTCAGATTCTGCCATAGAGTGTGAGTTTGCAAGGGAGGGAATCTGACTGTTTCGCTTGTCATTGTGACCCAAGCAGCTAGGACTGGGCCTGGCATGCAGAAGTGGCCTCAGCGAATTTTTTTTTAAAAATGGCTCTTGTGTTTTATTGAGATACAATGGACATAGAACATCAGATTGGTTTTAAGTGTACAACATAATGATTCAATACTTATATATATGACAAAATGATCTGCACAGTAAGTCTAGTTAACACCCATCACCACACATAGTTACAGTTTTATTTTTTTGTGATAACAGCTTTTACCATGTACTCTGTTGGCAACTTTCAAATATAGAGTACAGGATTGTTAACTATAGTCACCTGCTGTACCAACAATTATCGAAAGAACCTGATGAAAGTAAGTGTCATCTTGCAGAGACGGTGGGACAAAGAAGTTGAAGGGGAGACCATGGACAAGGTATGTGACCTGGGAGGGAGAGGGTACAGCCTGAGCAGAGGCGAGGGGCAGAAGTCCTGAGAGAGGAAGTGATAGGTCTCAGGGCCTGGTGGGACTTCAGTTGAATGAAGCCATCCCTGAGCCTTTGCTTGGTGCTGGGCCCTGGGCCTGCCCCTAAGCTCTGCAGGCTCGGGGCCATGTGAATGTCTGTAACTCTGGACTTGGTGGACTTGTAACTATGGGCAAATCATACCTGGTGAGGGCATCAGGGAGGGCTTCCTGGAGGAAGTTGCCCTGGTAATGGGTTTTGAAAGCTGAGGGGGACATGGCCAGGATGGGGGGAGTGATTTGAAGGCCTCCAAGGCTCTGAGTCTGGATGAGTGGGGCCACGGGCAGAGGTAGGGAACACGGGTTTCAGATACATGGATCAGTCCAGGATCTTGGAGGATGTGCAAGGACCTGTGAGGGCCCAAGTGAGAGGCAGGATGTGGCACACACCTCAGGCTCACTCTGGGCCACCGACACCAGGCTGTGGCGTTCCCATTCCCCACCTCAGTCCCAGCCCCTCCCTGGGTGGCCTGCCCTCATCTTTCACTCAGAAGCCTCCTCCCCTCACTGCAGCTCCCCTAGAAGCCCTCTAGGGCACAACTTTTGTGCTGGGCACTTTTGCAGACCTCCCTCTTACCCCTTGCATTTGGTCACCATCCCCAAATTTTAAAGATAGGAAAACTGGGGCACTGGGCTGGCTCGGTTGGTAGAGCATGCCACACTTGATCTTGGAGTTGTGAGCTTGAGCCCCACATTGGGTGTAGAGATTACTTAAAAGTAAATAAACAGGGGCGTCCGGGTGGCTCAGTTGGTTAATTGTCCAACTTCAGCTCAGGTCATGATTTCACAGTTTGTGAATTCGAGTCTTGTGTCGGGCTCTGTGCTGACAGCTCAGAACCTCGTGCCTGCTTTGGATTCTGTGTCTCCCACTCTCTCTACCCCTCTCCCAGTTGTGTTCTCTCTCACAAAAATAAGTAAATAAAACATTTAAAACAAACAAGCAGGGGTGCCTGGGTGGCTCAGTTGGTTGAGCGTCCAACTTCAGCTCAGGTCGTGATCTCACTGTTCATGAGTTTGGGCCCCGTGTCAGGATCTGTGCTGACAGCTTGGAGCCTGGAGCCTGCTTCAGATTCTTTCCCTGTCTCTTTGCCCCTCCTCTGCTCTCTCTCTCTCAAGTATAAAAAATAAAACATGAAAAAATTTTAAAACAAATAAATAAGGTATAACTGAGCTCACAGAGGAGAAGTGACTGCCCACAATTAGTAGAAGTGATCAGAGAGTTAAATCTGGGTCTACTGACTCTGGGGCCTACTCTCCTCACTGTGCCCCAAAGGCCAGGCAGGCAGGAAGCCTGGGGGATCAAGGGTGCTTCTCATAGCCAAAGCTCTGGGTGCCCTGGAGGCGGGGGGTTCATGTTGTACTTCACAGAAGAAGTAAGAGCCTGAGAGACAGTGCCACACAGTGGTTAGAAGGATAGACCTAAGGGCCAGAGTGCTTGGGTTCCAGTCAGATCTGTTGCCTCCTATACCTCAATTTTCCCTTCTGCAAAATGGGATGATAATAGTACCTACCTTATTTGGGTATTGTGGGGATTAAACGAGGCAAAAAGAAAACATTAGGTAAGTGTTATTATCTCCTTTCTTGAGATAATAATTATCTCCTTTCCCTCTGCTCAGTGGGTATCTGCTGTTTCTCGTACCCTGGTCAGTGGTCATCACCAGGGCGTGGGGGTTTCCTCTCTGCTCTAGCCTGGAGCAGGAGGAAGAATAATTTCTTACCTCCATTTTATTAATGAGGAAGCCAGGCCTCGGAGAGGTCATACAGTCAGGGACAGAGCCAGGATTAGAACCGAGGCCTGCCCAAACCCCGCGCCTGGTGTTTTTCCACTGCACCAGTGTCCCAGCATGCTCTGACTCCCTGTGGGCAGGATGGGAGTGCTTCCTTTACTAGGAGACCCCAGTGCTCTTTTTCCAGGTCTAAGGTATGCATAAAACTCCTTATCCTCAGGAATGAGGTCCAACCCCTCCCACATCTGCAGCGCTGGGCCAGAGCCCTGCCCACACCACTGTAGCTCAGGAGCAACTGACAGACGTGCCATGGCCCCATCCCACTGGACCCTGGGGATGTCTAGATGTGGGCAGTCCGGGCACAGAAGGCAGGCCCAAGCTGATAGGAAGAGTGGACCATGGGTTTACATTCAGCTCTGTCGCAAGTTTACTAGGTGACTAGATCACTTCATTTCCCTGAGCCCCGCATCGTTCAGCCATCAAATGGGTGGAATAAAACATGTTATTAGGGCTCTTGCGAGATTATTGTCTTGAGTTTGGAGCCAGTAGGCACCCAGCACCTGTGTGTCGGGTGACCAACTGACTGATCAGATCCATATATTAGCACAGGGCCTGGCTTGGAAATGGTTGCGCTGAGAATTAGCTTCTTGGCACCTGGCCATGTCCTGTGCTGCCCCTTACATGCAGCCTCCTCTCCAGTCCTTCTGTCCTGCCTTGCAGGGTCCTCAGCCTGCCAGGTCACCCTATACACCGCAACCCTGTTTGTGATCTCTTTCCAGACAACCCTTCCCCCAGCTTCTGAATTTGTCCCATCTCTGGCCCTGCTTATGACCTCAGACCTAAAGCTTGTATCTTTTCAGCATCTTATATTCGCCCTCAACCCTAGTTCCTTTGTTCCCATAACACGTTATGTTTGGTTCCTGAATAGCACGCAGCAGTAAAGGCCAGGCTGAATCGCTTGTGAATACATTAGTACCATGCAGTACTGGCTGCCATGGTTGTCAGGGTGGTGGCACCTGTGGACATACTCAGAATTCAGATCCCAACTCGACCACTTATTTGCTCTGTGTTTTTGGGGAAATTATTTCACTTTTCTCTCCCTCAGTTTCCTCATCTATAAAATGGGATAATAATAATATGGACCTGATAGAGTTATAAGAAATTAGCAAGCTAGAAGGGAAGTTTGATAAGAGTGGGATTTGGGTCTGTTTTGTTCACTGCTATGTCACCACCAGTGCCTAGCCCAGTGCCTGACACAGATGTGCTACTCAACAAATATTTGGTGAACATCTGTGGAATGGTGAGGTAATGCATACAAGGTAGCGCTAGTGTCTAATAGAAAAACAGTGCAAGCCACTTATAATTTTAAGATTTCTAGTAGCCATGTTGAAAAAAAAAGTCAAAAGAAAAAGGTGAAATTAATTTTATAATATATATTTTATTTATATAAACTTTTATTTATTTAAACTTTTAAAAAGTTTTAATGTTTACTTATATTTGAGAGACAGAGTGTGAGTGGGGGAGGGACAGAAAGAAGGGGAGACACAGAATCCAAAGCAGGCTCCAGGCTCTGAGCTGTCAGCACAGAGACCAATGCGGGGCTCAAACTCAGACCACAAGATCATGACCTGAGCTGAAGTCGGACGCTTAACCAACTGAATCACCTAGGCCCCAATAATATATATGTTAACATAATGTATCTAAAATATCATTGCAACATGGAATCAATATAAAAATTATTACAGAGATTTTTTTTTTTAAGTAGTCTCTATGCCCAACATTGGCTCAATTTCATGATATTGAGATCAAGAGTCACATGCTCTACCGACTGAACCAGCCAGGCACCTCTGGGATATTTTGTTCTTTTTTTTTCCTATAAGTCTTTAAAATCTGGTGTGTACTTACACCTATACCACATTTCAGCTATATAACAATAATGTCGTAAGCTATGTCCTACCAAAAAATAAAGTTGTATTTAACAGACAAATATTTTTATTTTTAAATTTAAATAAAGAAATAAAATTTGGGGTGTCTGGGTAGCTCAGCTGAATAAGTGTCCGACCAGCCTAGGTCATGATCTCATAGTTTGTGAGTTCGAACCCCGCAGAGGGATCTCAGCTGTCAGCCTAGAGTCCACTTCAGATTCTCTGTCCCCTGCCCCCACTTGTGCTCTCTCTCTCAAAAATGGACATTAAATAGGAGTGCCTGGGTGGCTCAGAAGGTTAAGTGTCCGACTTAGGCTCAGGTCATGATCTCACAGTTCATGAGTTCAAGCCCATGTCAGGCTCTGTGCTGACAGCTTGGAGCCTGGAGCCTGCTTTGGATTCTGTGTCTCCCTCTCTTACCTTGCTCACACTCTGTCTCTCTCTCAAAAATAAATAAACATTAAAAAAATTTTAATAGACATTAAATAAATAAAATAATTAAGTAAACTTAAAATTTGGGTCCTCAGTAGTACCAGCCACATTTCAAAGGCTCAGGGGCCCCTGTGGCTATTGGCTACCAGGTTGGGACAGCACAGATACGAAGTGCCCAGGGGCACAAGTTAAGTTCCCAATGAAGTTCGGCCATTATTAGTGATCTGGAAGATGTCTGTACTTTCGGATGAGTGAAACAAGAAAGCCACTGAGCACTGTGTACAACATGATTTCACTTGTGCAAACAAAGAAAACCCCCGCCCCCAAACTATTTATATATGTTAAATATGTAACCCAGATGTTAACAGAAGCCTCCTCCCCTTATGAGAGCTCTAACCCCATTCCACAAGAGCAGCAGGAAAAAATGAGATGTGCCACAGATGCCCGCTCAGGAAAGTGGGCCCAGAACAATGGGAGGCCTTTGTGTTAGCTCCGAGAAGAGTCTGATGGGAGAGTCGGGGCACTGAATTGCTTGGGTTAGGAAAGGAGGAGAGTTTTAATTTCCTGAGTCAGGGAAGAAAGGACGAGGGTCAAGGTGGTGGAATGCATGGGGCCAGGGGCCAGGGAGCACCCCTCCCTGGGAAAGAGGATGGCTGAAAGGATATGAACCCATCACAGAGATGACGCTTAAAATTCTTTGCTACCTTGGGCACAGTGTGGACACTTCAGGGACCCCCAAGTCCTCTGTGAAGTCTTTTTGACTTCATGAGTTTTAGGGTAGAATCCAGAAAGAAGCTGAGCTTTTCATCTGGGTCAGGGCAGAAGCAAAGGCCAGGGACTGAGGAGACCAGACACATAAGGGTCCCCTTCTTTTTCCCCAATGCCATTCTTGGGACTCAAAGAGGTGACTTTCAACCTTCTATGATTCATGGAGGTGGAGGTAGGAGGCCAGCTCAGCCTGTCTGCTACATCTCAGAGGCAAAGGGACCTCAGAAGACATCTGGACTCCTCTGTTTGTAAATGCCCAGGAGAAAGCCTGGAAGGGTCCACATCAGCATGACGGTGGCTGCTTCTGAGAGGAGAGTGGGTTTGGAGAGGTGAAGGAGATTTTCACATTTGCCCTCTATATGTCTGTATTGAGTTGTTTCAAAAAATGTTTTCTTTTTTTTTTTAATTTTAAAATGTTTTTATTTATTTCTGAGAGAGAGAGAAAGACAGCATGAGCAGGGGAGGGTCAGAGAGAGAGTGAGATACAGAACGTGAAGCAGGCTCCAGGCTCTGAGCCAGCTGTCAGCACAGAGTCCGACGTGGAGCTCGAACCCACGAACCTTGAGATCATGACCTAAGCCGAAGCTGGATGCTCAACCGACTGAGCCACCCAGGCGCCCCTCAAAAAATGTTTTCATAGCGAGAAGGCAAGACCTTTATGTTTAGAAGGGAAGAAAAACACCGCCCCCGCACCTCCATCCCAGCCTACGCAAGGTGTCCATGGCTAGTGTGGAAAATTGAGAATGTGCAGGTAGGTAGGCAGGAATCAGAAGCAGAAGTCATTATTAACTCACTGCCTAGCAGTGACCACTTTCCCAGTCACCTCTGAAACTCTGGGGAAATGTCTGGCCTCTGGGCTGGCCCTCTGCAGTGCAGGCCCTATCAGGTCTCGCCATTTTCCCCCAGCCCCAGAGTAACCAGAGATGAGAGTAGCCAAAAAGGTTGTTTTGAGGCCCAGGGCTGTGAGGGGTCTTAGCCCTGTGCCTAAAGTGCCCTGGTGGAAAATGGGGCCTTTGCTTTAGCATGGGGCCTGCTGTGGGCCTTGGGGGCTATGCTGCTGGGAACATGGGAGCCCCTCCCCACCCCACCACACCCCCGTGGTACTGAGGCCCCTGCCTTCTCGTGGCATAGAGGTCAGGAGTTTGGTCAACTTACTGTGAGCAGGTTACTTAGGCTATTCCAGGCTTCAGTGTTCTTTTTATAAAATATGAGGGTTCAAAATGAGATAATGTATGCGATACACTTAGCACAAAGAAACCTTGGTAAGAATAAGGCTATTCTAAGAACCAGTCTTTGCTCTGCTAAACCCTCTAGCCCTAGTGAAGGAGGTGAGAGGAGATGAAGTTTTTTTCCTGTGAAATGCAGGGGAATGGGAGATGGAATTGCAAGGGCCAGTGTATGTCTGGTTGGAGCAGAAAGAGGCAGTTATCCGGGTCCCTGTCTTGGAGCAGTGGCACCAGCAGGAAGTTGGATACTTCCAAAAGTTGAGTGGTAGAAAATGGTGGGTAGTGCGGTGGCAGGTGGTAGCTTTAAAGGCTGGGACATATCATGGGGATCAGACCAGGGCGGAGGCAGGCGGGGCTTCTGGTCTCCACTCTGCCTTCGGTGTGGTCCAGGACACGCCACGGGGCCTCGGAATAGTGTGGAGGTTTCTGGCTCAGCCTTCCTTCAGGCTCAGCCCATCGAAGTTCAGATCTGGTTTAGCTGCTGGCCAACTATGTGATTTGGGGCAAGTTACTTAACACTCTGGTGCTTTAGTTCTCCCATCTGTAAAATGGGAGGCACGATGACACTAACTTGTTGTGAGAAGGAAATGTGATAAGTGAAGTAAATTACTTAGAGGGGCGCCAGGCTTGTAGTGAGGGCTGGCTAACGATGCAGACCTGCTGGTACTTCCTGTCTGTGTCATGGATGCAGCAAGTGACCCCTTGGGGGTTCTTTCTGGTTTTGGATCATCATCTCTTATGTCTGACCCAGCTTCTTAGAGGGCAATTTAGGACCAGCCCCCTCCTGTTCAGGCCCATCTGCACCCTGAAGAATGACAAAGCTCTTGAATCACTGAGAAAAGCATTCTCTACCCTCTGCATTTTTATGGGAAAATGAAGGGAATGTTTCTGCTATGGTCAGTCAGTAATGCTTCAGCTTTTCAGTCCAGAATCCAGTCCAGGTTCTGATGGTTTCCATTCACGTCTTCAAACCCAACTCCTTAATTCACACAGTAAATACTATCTGAGTATTTGCAGAACAGATTCATGGTTCACAGAGTGGGCCCTGGAGCCTGATGGGCCTGGACTGGAATCCTGGTTGGGCCACACTGGGTCTCCAAGGCCTAATTTCTTTACTTGTAGAATGGAGAAATTAATTCCCACTTCTCAAGTTAATGTGAGGATAAAACCAAACCATCTATTGAATCATTTGGGGCTGGATTTTGGTAGTTCTAGAGTTGGCTGGGCAGCTATCTCAGGCACTTTCTTTCTGCTTTGCCATCCTCAGTGTATTGACTTTATGATCCCAAAGAGGCTGCTGCAACCCCGAGCTTCACATCCTCATACAACACAGTCAAGCAGGAAGGCGGGGGTGGGGGCAGCAACAGCCCTTCTCCTCTAGAAACTCCTTTCTTTCCTCAATCTTTCTACAATTTTGGTGGGTACAAGAATCCCCTGAACAGCTTGTAAAGTCAGAGTCCTGGGCCCCTTCTCCGGAGATTCTCACCGCATGAGTCAGGGGCAGGGCTCAAGAACTGCATGCTAACAGGTTCACAGGGATGCTGAGGCACTGGCCCCAGAAGGAGTGGTGCCTTGCGTCTTACCCTGGTGCTAACTTTGGCCCTTGAGAAAGAAGAGGCTGAAGAATGGGTTAAAGTGCTGGTACTTTATTTGGAAGGTGCAAGTCCAGCGTGCCAAGGGCGAGGAAGGGGAGGTGCCAGCCCAGGGTGCCGAGGGCAAGGAAAGGAAGAGACAAAGCAATGCGATGTGGTGCATTATGTCCTGGCTACTGCTTCTCAACAAGCTGCAAAGAGACACAGTAGATCACTTAGCAAGTGGATTAATTGGTACAGAGACTTTTCTGGAAAAGTTGAACTTTTGGAGAAAAAGGGGAGGCAGTTAGCCTAGTTCCTTCCCTTTCCATCCACCATTTCCTATTTTGCAACGTTTATCTCTGGGAAGCTTATGTCTCCGCAGTTCTGGACTGAATTAGTCACTTGGCTGCCTCTGAGGAAGCCAGAGCTCATGTCCCTAGGAGTGGTGTTTCATCCAAGTGTGAAAATGGAGGTGTGACTTGATGCAGGTGAGGTCCGAATGAGAGCACTAATGAGGCAGTTGAGGAATCCATGGGAACCCATAGGATTGTTTCATTGCAGGTAGGTAGCAACGTGTTGGGTCCAAAGCAGACTTTATTTTATTTTTTTTAATTTTTTTTTTAATGTTTTATTTATTTCTAGGAGAGAGAGAGAGAGACAGCGTGAGCAGGGGAGGGTCAGAGAGAGAGGGAGTCACAGACTGAAACAGGCTCCAGGCTCCGAGCTGGCAGTCAGCACAGGGCCCGACACAGGGCTCGAACCCACGAACCGCGAGATCATGACCTAAGCGAAAGTCGGACGCTTAACCGACTAAACCACCCAGGCGCCCCCAAAGCAGACTTTAAAAAATTGAGCTGGAGCGCCTGAGTGGTTCAGTTGGTTGAGCGCCTGACTTTTGCTCAGGTCATGATCTTACAGCTTGTGAATTTGAACCCTGCATCGGGCTCTGTGCTGATAGCACAAAGCCTGGAGCCTGCTTCGGATTCTGTGTCTCCTTCTCTCTCTGCCCCTCTCCTGCTCAAACTCTGTCTCTGTCTCAATAATAAATAAAAACATTAAAAAAAATTTTTTTAATTGAGCCAATAGGATATATTGATGGATTGATAATGGAGTGTTAGAGAGAGGGAGAAATGAAGGGTTTGGTGGATGATGGTGTTTACTTAGATGGGGAAAGCTTGAGGGGAAGTTACCTTGTTAGGAAAATGAATTTTTTTGCCCATGTTAAGTTGGTGAAGTCTATTAAATGGTCTAACTCTAGATCAGAGGGGGAAGGTTCTATCTGGAGATCAGAATTTGAGTCACTATCATATACATGGTATTTAAAGTCAGAATACTAGGTGCGGACACCAAAGAAAAGAGGTTGGGTGAAGAGAGACATGAGTAGGGCGCCTTGGTGGCTCAGTCGGTTGAGTATCTGACTCTTGATTTTGGCTCAGGTCATGATCCCAGGGCTATGGGATCAAGCCCCATGTCAGTCTCCACCACTGAGCATGAAGCCTGCCTGCTTAATATTCTCTATCTCTCTCTGTCTCCTTTTCTCTCCCTCTCTCCTCTCCCTCACTCTCGCTCTCTCTCAAATTAAAAAAAAAAAGAAGAAACAGGAGAGACAAGACAGAAACTGACTCTGACAAGATGCATACCATTGGTGGCCTGTTTAACAGATGGGGGGGCAAAAGCCTCCTTACCTGGGTGAGTGGAGGAGAAAATGGAGGGTTGGAAGTGGTGATGGAGAATATGCTTCTTTGGGGAGCTTTGCTGTGAAAGGGAGAAAAGAAATGGAGTGGTGGCTCAAGAGAGCAAGGGGAAATGCTTTCAAGGTGTTTGCAGGTGGGGATGACCCAGCAGAGAAGAAATGGGCAAGGCAAGAAAGATGGGGACAGCTGTGTGTGGCTTTAATCTCAGAACTGAGAGGGATGGATTCAGATCACAAGTTGAAGGCTTGGACTTAGAGAAGAGAGGGGGTACCCCTGGAGTAGAAGGGGGTGTGGGGTGTGGGCACACTACACTGTAGGTAGTAGTAGAGGAAGGGGAAGACGAAGTCACTCCATTCTGTGTCTTCTAGAACTGAAGTTGGAGGGGAAGTCATCGAAGAGGGTGTTGGAGGCAAGAGAGAAGATGAAGGTGAGAAACAGGTTATCTGAGCAAGGAAAGGGGAGTATTTCAGGGACACGTGACAGGAGAGCTTGGTGGTGTCGAGGGCCCACTTGAAGTGCAGTCCTAACCATGGAGTGAGTCGGGATAGCATGCTGGTGGGTGCGGGTGCCGGTGAGGTGCCTTGAGTGTGAAGGAGAGGAGGGAGCAGAGTGTGGCTTAGAGCCGGGCAATGAAATCTGAGCTGAGCAAGAAAGGAAGTGAAGACGTGAGAGAAGAGGTGGCTGGTGGGGGAAAGATGAAGGGGTCGGGTCAGGGAGGCCGGAAGTGGTGATGGTTATGCTATAAAGGCAGTAATAATATAAAGTTGGTGCCACTGGACGAAAATACCTCTCAAAAACACAAAAATCGAACAGCTAAAAGAAAAACGAAAAGAGAAAAAAAAATACACAATGTAAGGACTTTATATAAAAGACAAAGAATACGTGTAAATATAACACGGAACAGCATGATGGGTCGAGGCCAAACCTAGTTATCATTTGTGCTGCTGTGAAAGAATTGAGGAACATCTATGCCTCTCCAGAACGCACTGTTGAGTGAATAAGGAGGGTGGAGAAATGAATTGTATGCTCCCCTTATAGAATAAAGGGGAACTATACCACGTAAATCTGTTTAAATTTAAAAAAAAAAAAAAAGCTTGGGATGATTAAATCAAACACAACAGGCCACTAAATGGGAAGGGAGGGTTTAAGGTGGAGGACAGAGGAATAGAAATTAGACTCTGAATCGATCTTGTTTTGTAGATTAGACTTGGAACTATGTCAATAGTTTACATAATTAAACTAAAAGAAAATTTTTTTTAATTCTATAAGGAAATGCAAGTTGACATTTTCTCATTTCTGAGTTCTATAGAAAGGATATATTTGCATATAGATTTCCAGGTGTAACTTAGCTTTGCTCATGTGTCATAGAATGCTTTACAGGAATATTCTCACAGTGAGATATCACAATTTCATTATTGAGGGCCGCACGTGGTGCTTTGACTCCCACCATTCCCTTGGCGTTAACCCCCAAAGTGCAGCAGGACGCTGGTGAGCTGCACGAAGTATGGAATTTTCACAAATTTGCGTGTCATCCTTGTGTAGGGGACATGCTAGTCCCCTCTGCAGCGTTCCAATTTTAGTATACGTGCTGCTGAAGAGAGCACAAAAATTCTTAAAAATGGAAAAATAAGGGATGCCTGGGTGGCTCAGTCAGTTGGGCCTCCGACTTAGGCTCAGGTCATGATCTCATGATTCGTGAGTTTGAGCCCAGCATTGGGCTCTGTGCTGACAGCTCAGCACCTGGAGCCCGCTTCAGATTCGGTGTGTGTGTGTCTCTCTATCTGTGCCCCTCCTCTGCTCACACTCTGTCCCTGTCTCTCAAAAATGAATAAATTAAAAAAAAAATTAATGGAAAAATAAAACAGGTAGGTTAATATAAATGTGCATCCAGTTAGTAAGCCACACAGAGAGGAACTATAGTATGTTTCAAACACAGTGAACTCCCAGTATCAGGCTAGAAGGAACTATCCCCAAAACAAAGAATTACAAACAAAACCTTAAACTCCCTTTTGTTATTCTGATACTGTTGTGTGATATGGGCTTCACACCTGAATAACTGGGATGATCTAATGTCACAATTCAGGGTACAGATGAGAACCGGGATTCTCAATGTTGAAGAAAAAATATGTAAGATAGAAGAGTTAAGAAAAAGTTCTTAAGTCTTCAAGTTGAATAGAAAGTATGAATGTGTTTTATCTTAAAAAGAAAATGGGTCCTAGCATTGTATTCCAAAGGCCTAGAAAGGTTGACCAACACAGCAGCAACGGCATTCTAGAGCCTAGATTTTAGTCTTGCGATGCCATTCACCACCAAAGGGAAGCCAGGATTTTGTTTTTTTTCTTAGAAATAGCGGACTCCAGGTCTGGAGCAGAAGATACACAAGATAAGTCTGGAACATCCTATCATACTAGATAACAACAAAGTTACCAAATGCTACTAACTACCAAAAGGGCTGTATCAGAAGGACTCAGCAGCCACTTGAAGAGGCCCCCCACTGGACAAAAATATGAACAATTTGAGCATCGTTAAGTTTAATAAACGCAATGAACTCAAACACATAAAATATGTTTAATTCAGTGATCATGATACTTAACAATGCTAAACACAACAGCCCACTGGTCACTTTTGGAGGATGCTAGTAAACGAACTCATTAGTTTGAAAACTGGCCAAAGACTTGGGCCTTCTTTCCTCTTTTTCCAGTATGAACTCCAAGATAACCAAATGGCAGACAAGGAAAAGTTTCTCTTTACAGCCATATTTCGGGGACTGTATGAAGAAGGAATGGTAGAACTAGAATATCATCAGTTTGCAACCCTTTATGAGTTAATGACTCTAGGTATTAAGCTTCAGTGGCCTACAACATATAGAGACACATACGATGGATCTCCTGATGAAAGCATACAAACTGTGAAGTTTTCTTACCACTATATCTGAATCCAATCACACCTCTGGATCTATTCCTATAGGAATACAAGAGATTAAGAAACCTGTTAAATGAAACCAGAGATATAATAGCAAAATCCAGATTGGGAAACAGAGATGGACGGAAACTACAGGCTCCAAGAGATTACAAGAATATACCAGCTACTTACAAGATAGCCCTGTTTGGATTCTCATTCAAACAAAAATACTGAGAAGGCAGTTAGAAATTTGAGAATTTAAGTATCTCATAATATTAAGGAGTTGATATTAATTTTTGGTATGTTAATGGTATTATGTTTTAGAAGTTCCTATCCTTTAATGGATATGGTATGTCACCTTATGGTAAAGAGGAGGAGCCAGTGTTATAAATTAAGCAAAATTAGCTATGTATGAGTTGATACTTGCTGAGGGTATGTGATAGGTACATGGGATTTTGTGGTCTTTTATATATACATATATACATATATATATACACACACATACATAAGACAGTAAAAAACCCAATTTTCATTTATTTTTTTAAGTTTATTTTGAGAGACAGAGATAGAGAAAGCGCCTGCGGGAGGGAGAGAGAGGGAGAGAGGGAGAGAGGGAGAGAGGGAGAGGGAGAGAGAGAGAGAATCCCAAGCAGGCTTCCCACTGTCAGTGCAGAGCCTGATATGCGGCCTGAACTCACAAACCGTGACATGATCTGAGCCAAAACCAAGAGTCAGACACTTAACCGATTGAGCCACCTAGGTTCCCTAGGTTTTGTTGTCTTATTCTACTTTTGCACGGATCTGAAATTTTCCGTGACAAAAAAAATAAAATTTCCCAAAGTCAAGTCACCATGATTTAGGCTTTCACAGGAAATGTGTGATGGTGGGGAGAGGGAAGTATCTAGGGTAACTTTCAAGTTTCTTGCTCAAGGAAAGGAATGGGTGGTGGTGTCTTACCAGATCTAGGAAAAGTAGGAGAGGTGGGCTTGCGAACAAGAGGAGTTCCATTTTGATCATGTTGATCTGGGGTGCCTGTGGTATATCTGGGTGGGACTGCACAGAAGGTTGGTGGAACTACTCAAGAGAGATGTGGGCAGGGAAGGAAAATGTGAGTCACTGGATGACATCACAGGGAGAAACTTTAGAGAAGGGCATGCAAAGGGGTTTGAGGAGTGGTCAACTAGACAAACAGTATCTTAGAAACTGGAGGGCCCCAGAGAGGTGTAAGAACAGCTTTTATATATATACATTAATGTTTATTTTGAGATAGTAGAGAGAGAATATGCATGAGTGGGGAGGGGCAGAGGGAGAGAGAATCCCAGGCAGGCTCTGTGCTGCAGCACAGAGCTGGATGCAGGGCTCAATCTCATAAATCATGAGATCATGACCTGAGCCGAAATCAATTCAGATCTTTAACTGACTAAGCCACCCAGACGCCCCTAGGACAGTTTTTTTTTTTTTCTAAGTTGACTCTTATTTAAATATAATTTACTGTCAAGTTGGCTAACATACAATGTATACTGTGTGCTCTTGGTTTTGAGAGTAGATTCCTGCGGTTCATCTCTTACATACAACGCCCACTGCTCATCCCAGCAGGTGCCCATCACCCATTTTCCCCTCTCCTCCACCCTCCCATCAACCCTGTTTGTTCTCTATATTTAGAATTTTTCATGGTTTGCCTTCCTCCCTCTGTTTATATCTATTTTCCCCCCTTCCCTTTCCCCATGGTCTTCTGGTAAGTTCCTCAAGTCGAACAGCTTTTAAGAGGAGGGAACAGAGTCCTAACTCACACTGTTACAAAAATTAACTCAAAATGCTTTCAGACTTAAGAACTAAAATTACTTAAAACTCTTAGAAGACACAGGTTTAAATAATCTTTATGACCTTGGACTGAGTAACAGATTTAGATAGGACACCAAAGCACAAGCAATCAAAACCTAGGTAAACTGGACTTCACCAAAACTAAAAACTGCTTTGTGTCAACTAACACTATCAAGTAAGTGAAGAAAACCCATGGAATGGGAGAAAACACCTGCAAATTGTAACTCTGGTAAGAATCTGGTATCCAGAATATATAAGGGGCTCCTGGCTGGCTCAGTTAGTAGAGCATGTGTGCCTCTTGATCATGGGGTGATGAGTTCAAGCCCCATGTTGGGCATTAAGTTTACTTAAAAAGAAAAAAAGGGGGAGGGGCATGGGCACCTGGGTGGCTATTGGTTAATCGTCTGACTCATGATCTCAGCTCAGGTCATGGTCACACAGTTACGGTTTGTGAGATCAAGCCTCATGTTGGGCTCTGCACTAACAGCATGGAACCTGCTTGAGATTCTCTCTCCCTCCCTCTGCCCCTCCTAGCTCATGTGCACATGCTTTCTCTTAAAATAAATACACATTTAGGGGGGGAAAAAGGGCAAAGGATTTGAACACTTAAAGAAAGTTAACAAAACGTCCAATAAACATGGAAAGATGCCCCATGTCTTAGGATTAGGAAAATACAAATCAAGGGGTGCCTGGGTGGCTCGGTCAGTTAAGCATCTGACCCTTGGTTTCAGCTCAGGTCAAGATCTCAGTTTCGGGAGTCTGAGCTCCACATCGGGCTCTGCTCTGGCAGCACAGAGCCCCCTTGGGATTCTCTCCCTCCCCCACTTGCACTATCTGTCTCTCTCTCTCTTGGAATAAACAAACTTCAAAAAAAAAAAAAAGGAAAATGCAAATCAATGCTACGCTAAAATATCACTTCATACCCACCCTGATGCCTATAATAAAAAAAAAAAAAAGGGAAAATATGTGATGAGAATGTAGAGAAATTGGAACTTTCATACACTGCCGGTGGGCATGTAAAATGGTAAAGCTGCTGTGCAGAAGTGGTCTGGCTGTTCCTCAAAAAATTAGAGATTCAAGACCCAGCATTTCTATTCCAACGTGTAATAAGCCTACAAGAACTGAAAATGCTATGTCCACAAAAAAATCTGTACACAATATAACAGTATTCTAAACAGCCCTAATGTGGAAACAACCAGAATGCTGTCAACTGATCAATGAATATATAAAATACGGGCCAGGTTTTTCCCCCGCTATCCAAAAGTAGAGCATTCCCGTGAAACCTTTAAGCCAAATGGTACAAAGTGAAGCAATTACCATTCATTTTTTGGAAACCTTTTTGAGCTTTCCCAGACCCCAAAAATAACATCTCTTCGACTCTTCTAAAACCTTAGGATACTCTTGGTAATGGAAACTCAGGATGAACGGAGAAAAGCAGAGATGCCCACACAGCTTGAAGATGTAACAGCGGTTTGATGCAGAGCGTAGTTTCTGGAGAAGGAGACTGGCAGGGCCACCGTGCTCAGGGCGAGCACTGCCTGGAGAAGCGCTCACGGCAAAACCAACACTCAACACGCGATTTCCACGTTTTTGCTTTTTTTTAGGTCCTTTGTAAAAGCAAAGCGACATACTGTGAACTTTTAAAAAGTGGGAGATACATCCATAAAGTGAGTATATGACAAATAGAACAGAGTGCGTGCTATAACACAGATGCACCTCAACAACCCTCTGCTAGGGTGCCAGTCACCAGATTACAGTCTAGGATTCCCGTTAGAAATGTCCAGAACAGGGTATAGAGACAAAGTAGATTGGCAGTTGCCTGGTCCAGGAGGGGGAATGGGAAGTGATTGTTAAATATGGGGTTTCTTTTTCGAGTGAGGAGTATTCTGGAATTAGTGTTGATTGTGGCACAACCTTGTGAACATCCTAAAAACCACTAAATCGTGTGCTTTAAAGAGGTGAGTTTTTAATGTGGATTTTATTTTCACTCTGGGCTTGTGCTCAGCAGTCAGATGCTGCAGTGAAGCCAGGCTGGGGGTGGCGACTGTCCACTCACTGCCCCTGCCCTCTTCTGTCATCTACCCCTCCCCTGCTGAAGTCCAGTAACTGGCTGAATCCGACACAAATTGTGGCCTCGGCCCTCTTGCCGTGATTGGCTTGGGAGTAGGCACGCAATCCAGTTCTGCCCCAGGAAACTCAGGGTGCGGAGGGGGTTCCGGGAGATAACTCAATATTTTCAGGACAAACAGGTCTTCTGCCTCTGGATGCTGTAGTGTCAAGTTGAGGCCCAGGGCAGGGGACAGGTGGCTTGGAGGCCTTGGGAGGCGAGGTGGCTGGACAATGTGCTGAGGGCAAGAGGGCAGAAACCTTGGAAAGAACCAGCGGGGATCCTTAGGACCTCCCTACCTCAGGCCTTCTCGTAGGGAGACAGATGTTCCTCTTATTTAAAAGTCCAAAGCATCCATTCTAATACAGGTTATGTTGACAGCTCCCCAGGGATGGGATCAAAAGAGCATGGAGATGGGGCCAGGGGAAGGGAATCATTTTATTAGCGCACTATGACCAAACTTAGTTCAGGTCAAGGCTGGCATGGAGCATGGTGTTATGGTGCTCTTACATATCCTTACCATGTTCCCAGGCCTGGCTTCTTGGTTTTTAAGCTCAAGTACCCTCATGGTCCACAGCTAGTGAAGCCAAAGCAGCAAGCGTAGCCCATGAAAGAAAAATAAAGCTCAAGTTCACCCTACTCATCTTAATTTCTAGGTAACAAAAATAGAGGGTTACTACTGGGTTTAACTTCAGCCCGTCACTCCACATCTGGTTTAACTAGAAGATGCGGGTTGAGACCTATGCAAGATTAACACAAAGACTGTTAAGAGTATTTGGCTGAGCTCCTAGCATGGGCTATAGCTCAACACATTTTACTGAATATGAAATCCTACAAATATTGATTAAAGGAACCCGAACTGTGGCTTTCTCAAATTCTGCAACTTCTACTCAAAGACCAAGCTGCTGTACCCCTAACAGCGGTTACGTTCTACCCTAGAAAAGGATGCCTCCTGAATAAAAATTAGGATCTATAACCTAGGACCATTTTAGCAATAAAGAAAACAAGTGGCTGCAAACTGCCGAGGTGGACAAATTTTACTTTATCCAAAAGGCGCCTCCAAATAGAAGTCAGAAGTTATTTTTGAATAAAGCTGGGGAGGGGGAAGGGTTGAATCCTGAGTTTTGCTACTCATTCTACGTACACAGAACCCTGAACAAGGTTCTTCACCCGAGCTCATTTCCTCACTCATAAAAAAGTGTGTTAACACTTGCGTTACACAAGCATCCCAAGACTGAAGACTGGACATGATACACAAAAAAATTTTACCAAGAAAGAGCTTAATAGGATAGTTCTACCTTTTGGACTAAGGGGGTACACAAATCAAGTTGTTGTTGTTTTTTTACAGTCTCCAATTTACTTTATTTCCCCCAAACAACAGAGGTGACCACCCGTGAAAGTGAGTTCGAACTGCAAGCATCAATTTATCGTCTTGCTAGGTCACCAAGAGGAAAGGGGTTCTCTGCAGGGTCGCTAAGCTGAAGCAATCAGAAAAGTCCTCGTTAGCGTGTTTTCTAGAGCTGCTCTAGTTTCCCAGCAAGGACTCGAATTTAAAAGGTCCCAGAAGGCTTGCAGGTCCGCTTAAGAACAGTGTCGTGATCTGTCCTACACACCTTACGGCCGACTGTGTACACACACAGAAGCACTTTCTCCTGACACAAGGACTATAGCCGGACCTATTCATTTTCTCATTCTAGAAGCTTTAAATGTGAATGAAGTGGAAAGGCTCTTCTGCTGTCAGCTACCAGGCCACAACCTCAGCTCTGTCCAACACTCTGCCTTTAAAGCCACGCTTCAGACACAAGTACAGAACTCACTCCTCCGCTCCCAGCTGCTCGCCTCCCGTCCACTCCAGGGAGCTTTCCTAACTCCACCTAACACTGTGCTCGCCACCTACAGACGGACTCAAAACCAGAAATGGCCATACCTGAAAACCTCCACACCTCACACCAGAATGCATCCTGTCCCGAGAGACCTGGAGAAACCAGGCTCCCCAAATCCTGGGAAAAGAGGAGAGGCAGTGTTCCAAGCCAAACTGTATCCAGCTTTATTAAAGATACTTTTCATAAACAATCATGGTATTTCAGGCAGGACATGGGCAGACAATCGTTAACAGTATACAACAACTTTCAAACTCCCTTCTTCAATGGACTACCAAAATCAGAAAGCCACTATAAAACCCAATGAAGTCTTCATTTGATGCTCTGAACAGGGAAGTTTAGAGTGAGGGTTGACATTTCACATTTAGCATGTTGTTTAACAACTTTTCACGAGCCGACCCTGACTTTCAGGAAATGAAATGAAAATGGCAGAATTATCAATCTGAAGCTCCACAAGCTACAAAAGGAACTCTTTTGAGGGATGCCATCTCCATGGTGACACTGTAAAGTCCAGATTGCCTGACATACTGGGAACCATTTCGTGGGGTCAGGTTCCAACAGGTCTCTGGGTTTAAGGGAGTCAAGTCTATGTTGAAGGCAGAAGGAGAAAAGGACATAAAAAAATGAATTTTAGATTTTCCATACCACAAGGCATTTGTGCCAATGTGGCTAACGTGTGTCAATATCAAGGAATCGCTCCTCCTGGGAACCAAGAGGAAGTTTCTCAGAACTAGAAGGGAATGGTGTTTTTCCCCTTGTATCAATCTAGCTTCGGAGATATTCTAATAGTGACATATGCCCTTCCCCCAAAACAACAATGAAGTGTTCTGTGTGCTAACAACATAGCTTAAAAAAAAAAGTAAAACAAAATTCTGCATTTTTATAAAACTTGATAAAAAATAGTATTTCAAACTGTACAGTCACCAGAAGTACACAGTTATCAAAAATGCACACACTTCACTTGGCGTCTCCGGCACCTTCAGCTTTCTGTGCCTAGAAGAAAAAGATCAATACATTACCACCTGTGGACTGAAAAAACTATCTTTATTCACATTCTCTCCCTAGCATCTCTGTGCTCCCAGGCCCAAGTTCGGGGTTTAGATCCTTGGTAGGTGACTTTCCTTCTGGACCTTACTGTAAAATTGGGGAAGGGGTCACAAGACCAGAGTTAATTCCCAGCTTGAAAAACTCTATGGTGTAGCAGGAGCTTAGGACAGACTAGGATCTCAAACTACAGTGCCCTGAATTGGACCACAGAGGTTTTAAGAATCCAGAATTTAAGCTAAGAGAAAAACCACAAGCGAACTCTGGACTGAAAAGCATACTTCGAGTGACAGACACAGAAATGTAATAAAAAAAGCTTTTGGGATCACGAACGGATTCAGAGCAGACTTTAACAGAAAGTGAAGTGGCAGTCGTACCTGGTCTGTTTTGGCATCTCCATTTTCTGCTGGGTTATTCCCATCCTTGCCAGCATCAGCTTTCCCCTTTTTCCCTTTGGGTACCTTCTCTCCCTTCTAAAAACGGAAAGGAGAAAGAAAGAGTGGTTTCTTCTGATTTCATATGAGCAGGGTCTGGTCTGCAAAGTTCTGTTAAGAAGCATGATTGTTTATCAAAGATAACACACACACAACCTAGAAACCCTTTCCCACTGATAAAAACTGATACAAATAAGGCCAAATAATCTATCATCTACTGTGGTCTTTTTTTTCTTTTTTTAAATTTGTATTTATTTCTAGGAGAGAGAGAGAGACAGCGTGAGCAGGGGAGGGTCAGAGAGAGAGGGAGATACAGACTCTGAAATAGGCTCCAGGCTCTGAGCCGGCAGTCAGCACAGAGCCCGACGCAGGGCTCGAACCCACGAACCGTGAGACCATGACCTAAGCGAAAGTCGGACGCTTAACCCACTAAGCCACCCAGGCGCCCCTCATCTACTGTGGTCTTAAGCATACAAGTTTTCATGGGAGTAAAAACAAGTAAAAATACCTGGGTTTTAAATGTACAATTTCCTATAAATGGAAGACTCTTCCCCTGAATCTTGTTCATACATTTTCTTATTCTGATAGAGTTCTTGATTAGTCAGGAATAAAGGAAGCTAGCCCAACAGTTTACAAGATCCATTAATGGGGTCACCATTGTGCTGAATCAAGACACTGATGGACAGGTCTCACTCAGTGAAAATGACTGATTCCAACATTTTTTATTAAAAAAAATATTTTGAGAAAGAGACTGCGAGGAGGGGAGGGGCAGCAAACGGGAGGGTGGGGAGAGAAACAGAGAGAATCCCAAGCCGGCTCCACACTGTCAGCGCAGAGCCCGAAAGAGTCACCCAAACAGGCCGCCAACATTATTTTAATGGCCAGTCCAAGTTAACTTTTTCATAGTTCAAGTTTGTGCCAATAAGTGATGTTGTTATACAGCAGCAGTCCTGTCAGCAACATGGGAAACTGCACAGCCTTATGCCAACACCTAGAAGCACCTGGTCTCTCTGCTCCACTCACCTTTGCAGGGGCCTTTTTAGGTTTGGGCTCTGGCTTTGGAGGAGCAGGTTTCTTTTATTGGAGGGAAAGAAGAAGACACTATTAGCACAGTGGACCAGAGACAATCCCTACCCAACCCACAGTTCCACTGACACAAAAGTTTCTCTTATTTCGTAAAGTTCTGGGGGCTGGTTTTCGGCTGGAATCGCCTATCTTCAGAAACCCTTATAAGTAACCCACGTGCCCTGACTACAGCCACCAGCATTTTGGAACCAGCGAATCTATCAAACGGGTGAGCGTCCACAAAACAGTGGATCGTTCACAACCAGCCACTGACCCAAACCCATGGGAAACAAAAGGAGATTGTTCTTAGTGCTTTTTGGTTTTAGGGATAAACACGATAATTTAATAGCAGACACTTACAGCAGATAACCTTGCAGATCTTCTCTGTGGCTATTAAGATAATGAAAAAAAATTAGAAACATGGCAGTCAAACCAATCAATAAAAATTCTTAAGATGAAAAGTGTTGAGGTCCGTTTGTTCTAGACGACAGAAGTGGAGAGAGCTTGGAAACAGGACGAGGGGTATGGTTAAGCAAAAGGAACCTGACTCACCTCATCCTTCACCTTGGCTTTATCTCCTTTAGCATCCCCTTCAGCCTATAGAAAACAAACAAGACCTAAGAAACTTGTAGCTCCTGATGCAATTCTTAAGGACTCCCTAAGGCTCAATAATCCTAAGGGGAAAAGCTGAAGGGGAAGTCTTGCACACAACTTCTCTAGGACACACGAACCTTCGGGTCTTAGCATCCCCAGGTACCGTGTCAATGCCCGAAAGGCGGGCTGTTCCTCTGTGCAAGCCTCACGCCCGGAACGGCCCAGGGAGCGCAGGGAAGGCGGGTATCCGCGCCCCAGGCCGCCCAGAGTCTCCGCCTAGCCGCCGCGGGCAGAGCGCGCTGAACTCGGGCGCGGAGCAGCGCGGAGGAGCGCAGCCCGCGCCGCCGCGCCAGGGAGAAGCAACAGCTGCAGATGGTGCAAACAAACCCCTCCGGAGGCGGGGCCGGGCGCCGTTACCATAGCAGCCGTCGAGGGCGGGAGACTGGAGGCGCGCGCAGCCGGGGGAACTCGTGGGCGGCAGCGGCGCGCACCGGCGCGAGTCTCGTGCGCCCGGGCCGTGGGCGGAGGCGGGGCCACACCGCGAAGCCCCACCCCAAGGGACACGGGCCCCGCCCCCTCACGGCGGCGGTTTTTTGGCGGCAGCGCGCTCCCCCGCCCGCCAAACCCGAGCGCCGCCTTCCCGCCCTTTCGGGTTTGAATTGCCCGCCCGCGGGGAGGGGAGGGGGCATGGCGATGGGGGAGGGGGCGCGGGGCGGGCACGTCGAGCCCGACAGGAGCGGGATAAACAGCCGCCAAC